TATTTTTTTTTTTTTTTTTTTTTTTTTTTGTACCGGGAATTGAACTTGGGTCCTTGCAATTGCAAGGCAGGCAGCAGAACCACTGAGCTAAATCTGAGGCCCTGCATGATTTTTGATTGGTGGGGAACATGGGCATGTCAGATCTACCATGATTCAGTCTGAACTCACTGGCTTATGATTTTGGACAAATGATCCAGAAGTTTCACTTTGTCCTTATAAATGCAAAGTATTTCTGGGTGGGATGGGTGATCACAAGTATAAAAACACACACACACACACACACACAGCACAGCTGGGTGTGGTGGCGCACGCCTGTAATCCCAGCACTTGGGAGGCTGAGGCAGGAGGATCACTGTGAGTTTGAGACCAGCCTGGACTACACAGTGAGTTCCAGGTCAGTCTCAACTACATAGTGAGACCCTGTCTCAAAAACAAAACAAAACAAAAAAAACCCCAAAAAACAGAAAAACCAATCAAACAAAAAACAGCACAGAACTAGCACACACTGAGTCCTTGCTTCAACTCTAGTAAGTGGGTTGAGAGAAATAACACCAGCAATCAAGTAACAATGAGACATATACAGCTTTATTTAATAATTTGTAAAAAGTCATACTCAGACAGAGTGACGCATTCCTTATCTTAGCAGAAAGCAAAACAATGTGTCTGAAAAGTCTTCTCCCAAGATTCGGAAGTGAGGGACCCTGAGCGGATAGCTAGATGTACAAGAGCTGGGCTCCAGCTGTGTGGCAGCTGTCCCCATGGTTCTTCTCCCCTCTTCCCAGTGGTGCTCTCTGGCTGGCTGCGAACCCTCACAGCAGAGAGCAGAAAATAATTTTACCTGTAAGGGCTGCCCTTACAAATTGGCCCCTTTCCTCTTACGAGCCAGAGTTTATAAAATTAAGAATCTTTCTCAAAAATGGTTCTGATTCTATTTAACTTAGCTTCTATTAAAGTCTGCTGAAATCAAGGCTGTAGTTACTCAACATGATGTTGTCAATGGTTACTCCTCTCCTCCCATGCATATCCTCACCCCGACATGCTTTTTAGGTCACAGCACTCCCTCATTTTGGGATCAAGGGATGAAGAAGCACTGTCCATCACACAGTGGAGAGGCTCTTCTTGCAGATGTGCGCATGTCTGAAAAGTGGTAATCAGATGGTAGTGACAGTAGTTTTGAAGGCCTGACATTTTGTTTTCTACTCCCTGTGCTAAAAGATTCTAGAATTCGAGCGACTCCTTTAGAGAAAACTTCATGTTTGTGTCAGAACCTCACTGTTCACAAACTTCCAGCAGGACATACTGCTCCCCTTTTATTTATAGGATAGGTTATGTGAACCCATCTGGATAGGAGGAGGTAGCTGGCCTCCCTGCCTGCCTCTCTTACCTAAGACAACCCTTTCGCCTCTGGTCAGAATCAATCAATAGTCCAAACAGTGATTAGTTTTCCACATTGCTCAGAGTTGCTCTCTCTAGAAATCATTCTGCAAATCTTGTTGATCAATTTGCAACCAAAAGGGAACCTAGTGGCCTAGCTCATCTAGATATCTGTGCTGTACCTTTCCCTTAAAAAACACTGTTGAGAATGCAAAAAAAAGAAAGAAAAAGAAAAAGAAAAGACAAAAAGCCCCCGCCCCGCAGAAACACTACAAGAAAGCATGTCTAAAATCACAGAACTATGCACACACACACACGGATACACGTGCTTGCACACACACAGAGTTGGGGATCAAAGAATTATATCAGATACATAGTTGAGAGAGCACAGAAAAAAGCTGGCAAGAGAAGATGTGGAAATTAGATCAGTTAAAGATGCTGGAATGTTACAGTAATGGCATGGATGTGATTCTTGGTACATACAAAAAAGGGGTGAGTGGGCAGAGAATGATAAATCCAGGCTACTAGAGAAAGGTTCAGTGGCCATGCATGAATTAAAGATAGTGGAGGCCAGTTTACACATGAAATGTGCTATGGAGTGGTGATCTGAAGGGTGGATTTGCATGGTCCGGGGAGGAGCATCTGCTTAGCAGGACAACTCCACAGTCTGATGTCTGTCCAGGGCATCAGGGGACTCACAGGACTCTTGAGTTCCATCTGAATGATTGCTGGTGACAGACCGGCTGAAGGGACTTTCTCCAGAGCCAATGCTACTCGAGGTTGAGTGGGTTCGTGATCGGGCGAGCCGGGTCATGCCGGCAGATGGTACTGTAACAAAGAACAAGAACACTAGAAGACGAAGCCTTGGTCAAGCTCAACTAATCTACATGTTTTACCAAAAACTTTGTATCTGGGTTTCCCAAACCACTTAAGGTAACACCAGGACAAGACACAGCCATCTCCATTTTGCAATATTTGCTCTAGGTGAGTGACTATATGCAAGGTTGCTTTAATACTCTAGGTATGGTTGGAATCTCAGCTGATTCTAGTCTACAGCACAACAAGGGGGAGCCCTGAGTCCGGAGTACAGCCTCTTTAGCTGTGCCCACACCGTTCATACAGTGATTAGGAAGGAGGTTTTGGGAACCCATACAGGTAACCAAAACCTGCACTGCATGCAGGACTAAAACAAAAGAAAGAGAAACCACACATGTATGAAGACGTTTCACAAACACAGTGCAAGCCCGATACAACAAGACTACCATCCGTGTCCACAGGGTACCCTTGCTGTCTGGAGAGGAGTAGGAAGGTATAGGTGGAGGGGAAGGCAGGTAGACTTGAAGCTGTTATTTACACAGGGCTGACCTGGGTGACCTGGAAGGTAAGAGCTCTGGGATTGTTTAACCCAGACTCCTGTTCTTCCACTAGTTCGGTCCTAGGCGCCTCCCAGCTTGGCTAGGACAGTGCCTTACCTGACATAACCTCCCTGCCTATCCTGAGGTTCCAGCCACGACTCCAGAGTTCTTCAGGCTAACATCTCTACTCAGTCAAGGTTACCCTTTGATTCCCATGTCAGGGTTATCTCAAGGACCAACAGGTGGTGGTGGTAGAAGGACCCCGTCTATCAAGTTTCAGCTGATGCCATGAGCCTGGACTGAGGATGATGGGAGAAGGCCTAAGTATTACAACCTGGTTCTTTCTTTCTCCTGGGGAATCAGAACTGGAACCGTGCGCTAAATCTTTTGGAGCACAAAGAGCCACGTTCTATCGGGCTCTCACTGCACAAGAAAACTGCGGACATGCTGCAGACAGCCAATGCAGCCAGGAGAGCATGGCTGGGAGGCGGGTGGGGCCAGCACAGAGGAAGGTACCTGACTCGGTGCTGAGGTGACTGAGCTGCACATACGGGACTGGAAGCAGGATGGACACAGGAAAAGGCAGGTTAGTGACCCAAGAGTGCCAAGGGGCAACCTTGGCCGCCTAGTACACACTGACAGAATACTCCTAAGTGAGGAATCAAAGCTTATTGTAAGGTCCCAAAGAGGAGGAGGTGAGGCTAACTGAGGCGTTAGTATCATCCTGAACGTCAATTCTCTCATGTAGATAAAGAACACTGTTTTCCCCTCCATTCCGTAGTTACCCTTCTTTGGATCAGAAACAGGTTCAAGATGATCAGTTTTCACAGAAAAGGCTGAGAACAGGCTATAAGGGGACTTCTGCTCCTCCCAGTGAGCTAGAAGGCTGTGGTTGTGGGCTCGGTTGGTAGTGGCTCACAGATGGGACAACACAGCCACTCTAGACAAGACACACGAAGTCTGCCTGGCAGGTACAGGGCTGTACCCAGGGCCCAGCTGCACAGGGAATCTGCCCAGTCAGCTCACCAATGGCCATCATCCACACTGATTCCAAAGACAGGAAAATCACCCTGCTGGGTAAAGAGCTCTGTACCTGGGTGAAAGGGTTTTTCTTTTTAAAACTCCAAGAATGGAGCAAATGAGGGTTTTCTATGACAAACGAGAAAGCTCAGGGGTCTCACAATACACAAGACCAGGACAATGGCATACAATATGGACACACCCTTGGACTTGCTATGAAATACTCTGCTAGTTCATCTCCTGTGGCAAACAGATTTCTCTAAGAGCACCACCCTTTTCTTCTGGAGTCTTCGTAATGAGCTGGAGCGCAAATCATACCTTCCATACATGGCTAAGACAGCAGAAGCTTCAATGGTTAAAAATGTGCGCTCTGGAGCCAGAGTGCCAAGGTCTGAACCACAGCTCTGCAGCTTGTTACTCTGGGAAATGTGCACAGCCCCTTTGAGCCTCAGGTTCCTTTTTCACATAATGGGACTGATAACAGAACTTACCTCTCAAGTTTAAGAATACATAGTGCTGACACAAGATGGGTGCTTAAGAACTGTTAGCTTGTCTTACATATATGAGAAAATGAATGTTCCACAAACATTTGGGTCTCTACTTAAGGCCAGCTAGCACAGAGGTTAGGCCCTGAGAGCTGTAGCCACCCACATGTCAAACTGCTCCTGTTACATTGATCCCCTTATACATTTTTTGCTAGACAGAAAGTTGTGCGTTACTCACTGTAACCCATTCCCTGCAAAAAGTACTTGAAGGCCTCGGTGAGCTTCCCAGGCTGGGGAAATAAAATAAGAAGGCATTAATCTTTTGGACAGGCAAAGAGGTAGAGGTGAATGATTTTTTAAAAAACTGCTTACCTGAACTACTTGGGGCAGTCCCCCACAGTCTGCCATCTAGAAGAGGAAAAATATGTAAGTCAGCCAAGACATATCCTTTAGGGAAATGCTTTGAATAGCCCAAATGGGACAGGATTATTAGGTTCCTTAACGTTTAACCACATCCAAACTTATATTTCCTCAATACACTGGTCCTAGTCTGTAAGGACTTAGATGCTGACAATAATCTTGGATAGAAATCTGAAATTATCATTCACCCACAAGATGCCCTGTTTTCTGTTGGGGTAAAAGTGAAATCAGTCAACTACTTTCAAATATGGCTCTGCCTCCACCTGAAAAATGTTACTTTCAGAGTTATCAAACAGTGTGCCTCTAACTTCTTAGTGCTTCCTGGTTTCTAAGTTCCCTTTCAACTCTACATTGTCATTACTCCAAGATGAATCAGGAGCTGATGCTGAATTCTGCCAACTCATTTGATTAGCTACTGGCCTCTCTGATTTGGTGGAGCTATTTTCTTCCTCATACTGTTTTTGTTTTGTTTTGAGGTGCTAGGGGCAGAACATGGGCCTTGCACACGTTGAGCGAGCACTCTACCACTGAGCTATACTGCAAGCCTGTCTGGTCCTAGTCCTATTCTATCCTATCGTATCCTGTCCTATCCATTTCAAGACAATGTCTTGCTAAGTTTCCCAGTCTGGCTTCAAACTTAAGATTCTCCTATCTCAGCCTCCTCAGCTGAGATAACAGGCACGCACCACTGGAACTGGTGCACACTGGTTATTCTGACAGCTTCACAGGGTGGAATTAAGATTAGATTCTTAGACAGTTCAAAGCAGAAGGATTCCAAGTTCAAACCCAGCCTGGGCGACTTAGTAAGATTTTGTTTCAAAATTTAAAAAAGTACAAGGGGCTTGGAATACAGCTCAGTGCAAAAACTCCGATATTCAATCCTCAGTACTACAAAAACACAAAACTTGGGTTCTTGAGGCTGGGTAGGGAGCTCAGTGGTAAATTGTTTGCAAAAGATGTATTAGTGCTAGGTTTGATCCTCAGTGATCCCAAAAGAAACAATCAAACAAAATAACTTGACTTCCTGCCCTGGAGATCCTGACTGAATAGATCTGGGGTTAAGATTCAGGAACTTGAATTTCTTTCCCTTCCTCTTGTTATTTTGGGGGCCATACTAGGGATTAGATCCAGGCTTTCACACTGAGCTACATCCTCAGCAAGCTAATCTCTCTCTCTCTTACAAAAAATTTTTTTTCCTCTCTTTTAAAATTTGAGGCAGTATTTTGTTAAGGTGCCCAGGCTCAGCTTAATTTGTGACCCTCTTGTCTTAGCCACCCAGAGCACTGGGATTATAGGCATGTACCACAATGGCCAGCTAGGAACTTGCATTTTTAAATAATCTTTTAGAGATGCAGAGTCTGCCAGTGTGCAGAATGCACCGCTTCTAAGGCATGATAGTCACCTAGGAGTCCAACTTCTTCCTTCCAGCTGTTACACACTGAGCTCCGAGTCCTATAGGCTGGCTGTTTTCTTTTTGCAGGGCTCGAGATTGAACCCCAGGCTTCTTGCATGCTATGCAAGAAAACTACCACTAAACTCTTCCTCCCAGCCCTTTTTTTTTTATTAAGATAGTCTCTCAAGTTGTACTAAGTTGTACAAGCTAGTGATCTCCTGCCTCAGTTTCCCAAGTAGCTGTGATTGCATGTGTGCATCACCACACTGGGTGAAGACATTTAACACACCACACACACACACACACACACACACACACACACACACACACACACTGGGTGAAGACATTTAACACACCACACACACACACACACACACCACACACCACACACACACACACACACACACCCCCCCCCTGCCACCAGGGATTAACCTCAGGACTTTGTGTTTACAAGGCAGGCAGGGCACCACTGAGCTAAACCCTGAGCCCTATCTTTTGGTTTGTTTTATCTTTTGATACTGGGGATAAAACTCAGGACCTTGTGCTTTCCAGTCAGGTGCAGTGCTGCTGAGCTAAATCCCCAGCCCTATCTTTTTTTTTTTTTTTTTTTTTTTTTTTTTTTTTTTTTTTTTTTTTTTTATCACTATATAGTTGAGACTGACCTGGAACTCACAATGTAGCTCAGGCTGGTCTGAACTCACAGAGATCCTCCTGCCTCAGCCTCCCAAGTGTTGGGATTACAGATGTGTGCCATCATGACTGGCATCACACTGGTATTTTACAAAAAAGGCATGAACCCCATACTTCAATCACTAGTGTTAAGATTTTATTTGAAGGGGGACTGTTATTTAGGAGAAGGGAATGCCACAGAAGGCACAGGAGTTTTAGGTTAACAAAAAATAATTTCCTGAAAATTCTAAAGAGGAAAAACTAACATACAGCCTGACAAATAAAAAATTGACCAAAATGGTATAGTGGCCATATTTTTATGAAGTGTAGAAGTTGAAACCTGTCTAGAACCATTAAAATGGTTCCCATATGAGAATACTGGGAGAGATTTTTTTTTTTTCATTAAAGTTAGTGGTACTGTTAGGTATACAGTACAGTTACATTCGTCATTGGGATCTTGTACCTTTACATGATGGAACCTGGTTCTTATTTTTTCTCCTTTCCCTTGCCCTCCCTTCACCCCCTCTACCCTTGCCTATTTATAAAGACTTTGTTTCCATTTCTTCCTTTTCTCTTTTTTCCTTCTTTCCTTTCCCCTATCCTTTCCACTTCCCTTACTCCTTTAGACATTTTCTTCCTATTTCACAGTATCAATTATACAATTTAAACCTTATTTACACTTTTAGTGTCTCACACCAGAGAAACTATTTGGTATTTACATATGTGTCCTATTTATTTCACTAAAGAGTATGGCCTCCATATGCATCCATTTAGCTATAAATGTCTCTAGTTTCTCATTGTTTATGGCTTAGTACTCCATTTTATAGAAAAACCACATCTTTTTTATCCAGTCTCCAGATGATGGGCAATTTGCGCTGTTTCCAAGTTTTAGCTATTACAAACCGTGCCTCTATAAACATGGGTGTGCATATATTACTGTGGGATGATTCTTTTGGAAAGATACCCAGCAGAGGGATGGCTGGGTCAAATGGGACCTCTAGTCCTAGTTGTTTGAGGTATCTCCATATTGATTTCTACAGTGGTTGAAACCTGTCGAGCCTGTGATCTCTGGGACACTGAGATAGGAGGATTACAAGTTTGAGCTCATCCTGGGCAAGTTGGGAAGACCCTATCTCAAAAAAAAAAAAAAACGCATAGGAAAATGACTTTTTTTTTTAAAAACTGGGGACTGAACCCAGGGCCTTGCATCTGCCAGCAAAGTGCGTAAACACTGAGTTATATCATGATCTCCTTTTAAAATTTTATTTTTTGGTACCAGGGATCAAACTCAGGATCTTGTGCTTGCAAGGAAGGTGGTGGCACCACTGAGCTAAATCCCCAGTCCTAAAAATTTTTTTTTCTCACTGAGTTTATTGGTACATTTTAGGTATACAGTACAGTTACATTATCGGGATCTTGTACCTTTACATGACAAATCTTGGTTCTCATTTTTTCCCCTTCCTAAAATTTTATTTTGAGACAAGAGTCTTAAGTTGCTAGGATTATAATAGGTATGTGCCACCACATTTGGCAAGACATTTTTTTACCGGTTACTTTTGGTTCATAAGTGTTATGATTAAAATTTTTTATTTTTTTCTTCACATTTTTCTACATTTCAATTTTTTGTTTTTTTTTTTTGGTACCAGGGATCGAACTCTAGTCCTTGTGCTTGAGAAGCAGGTGGTGGAACCACTGAGCTAAATCCCTGGGCCTACATTTCAATATTTTACAATGAAAATATATTCAGAAAAAAAAATTAAAAGGAGAGAAAACGAGAGAATCATACAGTGCAGCTTTGCTTCTTTTTGGGCAACTATCACAGAAAATACATTAATTTGAAGCATTATAATTTTTTCACAAGTGGTTTGCAATGATGAAGAAGACACATTACCTTTAACAAAGTTGTATTTATAGGGTTGAGGCGAGAATTACATTCAACCTAAAAAAAAAAAGGAAAAAAAATCTCAATTTTATAAATTGGTAGGAAAATAAGAAGTAGTGTAAGAACCAATCTTGTAAGATCAACAACTCAGTTAGTTTAGTGATGTAGTTTAATTAACCAGATTACCAAAGTACACAGTGGGAGATATACATGATACATTTTATATCTGATATTTCTGAACAGATCTGAAAATATGGCTAATTTCATTTTGTCAGCCTGTTATAAGTAGTCTTTAACCACATGCTGCAACTAGACTCTTTCTATGGCTACAAAACATGGAGCAAGTTACCTTGCCGCTTTCAGAAATGCACTGAACCGTGACCCTCTCCTGGGATCTCTCTGATGCCTTTCCAGCACAACCGGCCCTAATGATTGAGGTCTGTGCACCTCTCTCCCACCTCCCTTCTACACCTTTCCCAGGCCTGGAGTGGTTTTACCATTCCTTATACCCTGAATTCTCTGACAAGGTCTTTGCTGTCCAGTCTAAAGTTGACTTCCCCGTGATCTTTTCTCTCACAGCAGTCACGATAATTATCACAGTCTGGTGCACTTATGTTTGGGAATATAATTTCTGGGTTCAACAATGTTTATTATTTGTTTTTGGTGCTATGGATTAAATTCAGGGTATTGTGCATAGTAAGTGTGTGCTCTTAACATTGAGCTACACAATTCTAGTTCCAAAAGTTTAGCAATGTTTTATAGCTAATTTGATCAACTGGATCTTCCCTTTCATATGTTTATCAAGAATACACTTACAGGGGCCAGGGATTTAGCTCAGTGGTGCCACCGCCTGCCTGGCAAGCACAAGGACCCAAGTCTGATCCCAGGTACCAAAAAAAAGAATACAGATATAAAGCCTGTTCTAGGGCCGGGGATTTAGCCCAGTGGTTCTGCTGCCTCCCTCACAAGTGCAAGGTCCTGAGTTTGATCCTCATAAAAAAAAAAAAAAAAAGTCTGTTCTAAGTTGGAACCCAGTGGGATGAAATAGATAATACAGAGCAAAATGAAATTAATTTAAAAATTTTACAACCAATTACACTGAATATTAAAGAATAAATAGAATTTCTATAGTTAAAGAAAAGGTAGGTATTCTGAAGGCTTCCACAGTTGGGGTAAAACATGCAAAGACATGGGGCATGTGAAGGGAATGTGCACGGTATGTGTTGGGTTACAGAGGCAAGTGTGATGTGAGGACGTACACAGAGGTGAGGCTGGAGGTGATCGTGGAAGGCAAGAAATCATACGTTTCTGACGTGATGGGATTTAAGTTGCTTTAGGACAGCAGTGGCCGCTAAGACAGACTGCACAGTCATCAAGCCAGTGAGAGAGCATTTACATAATTACTGAGGTAGGGCCAGGGATGTAGCTCAGTGGCACAGTGCCTGCCCTGGCAAGTGTGATGTCCTGAGTTCAATTCCTGGTACCAAAAAAAAAAAATTACTGAGGTAAGAACCAGCTGAATTTTTAATCTAGGCACTGCTGATATACAAAACTCTAGGCAGGTATACAAAACTCTTCTAAAATTAGGGGATGATATAAATGACAGGATCACATCAGAGTTTTGCTCCATATGAATGACAATGCAGGCAGTGATAAACAAATACACTAATTTACTATACAATATGCTTAATGCTGAAGGTAGATTTTTTTTTTTGGTACTGGGGATTGAACTCAGGACTTTGTGATTTCAAGGGAGGTGTGGTGCCACTGAGCTAAACCCCTGTCCCTGTAATGGTAAACTGATTGACTGCTTGATTGATTGATTTGGTACCAGGGATTGAACTCGGGGTCCTTGTGGTTGTGAAGCAGGTGCCAGAACCACTGAGCTAAATCCCCAGCCCACAAAGGTAGATTTTAAAAACTGGATCCTCAACTGCCAGTCACAGTATTGAGAATATAGTAGATACATTATAAATATTTTCTGGAAGAATGGATGGTAAGTTGGACCTTTTTTCGTAGAGGGGATCGAACTCAAGACCTTGCATTTATGAGACAGGCATGGCACCACTGAGCTAAATCCCTGGTCCAAATTTGGACTTTTTAAGGCCTTGCACACCACTGAGCTACATTCACAGCCTCTTCTATGGGGGGTGATAATGGGGACTGAATACAGGGCCTTTGCACTGAGCTACATTCCCAGCTTTTTTTATTTTTTGAGACAAGTTCTCACTAAGTTGCCTAGGTTTGGCTCAAATTTGCAATCCTCCTGCCTCAGCTTTCCAAGCAGCTAGGATTACAGGCATGTGTCATCATGCCTGGCTCAACTGTTGGTTTTTGACTTGCCTACTCTCTCTCTCCAGCTTCCCTGATGCATTTTATCATATTCATGTTTACAGTCTCCATGGCATTAAGTAAACCAGAGAAGCTAAAAAGTGACGCTGAATAAACTGAGCAAGCTGCAATCCCGCCTAGGACCTGTGGAGTTTCTCCTGGCTCTTCAACATGTGGATATCCCTTTACTCCCTCCCTCACTGTAGGATGAAATGTTCTGGCAGGGGAGCCAAGCCTGTCTGTGAATTGAGGAACATCTACTCTGTGCTACAGATGGGGCCCCTGAAGTTCTCTACAAATGCTGGAATGTGGAAATCAGAAAGAGGAAGAGACCTTATCTATTGACTAAATCAGTTTTGAAAAATAACTGCAATAGGTCACTTTAAGTCCACACAATTTAAAAAAGACAAATAACAAAGATAGAAGATTTAAAGAAATATTTACTATTTTAATTCTTTTTTTTTTTTTAGAGACAGGGTCTCACCATGTAACTCAGGCTGGCCTCAAGCTCGCAGAGATAGAGATCCTCCTGCCTCAACCTCCCCAGGCATGAATCACCACATCTGGCTTACTTAGCATTATTAAGGAATTCTAATTATAGATATTTTTGAAAAACAATCCTATTTTCTTGTTTTTAGTTTACATGCTTCTTAAAAATGTTTTTAGTATATATTTTGTAGTATATATCTATTTTTTTCTTTTTGAAAACAAGGTCTCACTATGTAGTTCAGACTGGCCTCGGACTTACTATGTAGCCCAGGCTGGTCTCGAACTCAGGGCAATCCTCCTGCCTCGGTCTCCTGAGTGCTGGGATTACAGATGTGCACCACTATGCCTGGCTGTTATCTGTATTTTTAGCCAGAAAAGACTAACATTCATAACTTCCCGCTCCTACCCGCAGTACTGGGAATGGAATCCAGGGCCTTACCTGTGCTAGGTAAACACTCTGCCACTGAGCTACACTCTCCTTGACAAACTCTTTGACATACTGGAATGACACTATAGCTTTATCACCTTTCAGGACTTTTTTGGGGGATATGAGAATTGGAGGTTATGTGTCTCCATGTACAAGTCACACTATATATTTTATACCACACACAGAATGGTTTACTGGGCAAGTCAGAGACGTGAACATATCCTATTTTCACTTCTGTCTCACTCTACAAACACTCTCCTAATCCATAAACCTTCTTGATTTCTGGTTACTTTATTAAATTTCCCTTCCAAAAAGTCTATTCCTTAACACTCTGCTCTAGATAGGGCAGAAATGAAAGTTGCCCAAGAAAATCAAGCAAGGACACACATATACTTAGTTAAATTAAACGTATAGAAAGGACATAATAGTCATTTGAATACTTTCAGCTTTATCTGTAATCAAATAAATGCAAATGAAATGGTAAGAATACCATTTTTTTATTTGTGAGAGAGGGTCTGGCTGTGTAGTTCAGGCTGACCCTGAACTCACCACGGTCCTCTGGCCTCAGATTCCCAAGTGCTGGGAAACAGGTGTGCGCCACCACACCCAGCCAAGAATACCATTTTTATTTCAGTACCAGGGATTGAACTCAGGACCTTGCACTTTGCCAGGAAGGCAAAGTGCCACTGAGCTACATCCCTGGCCCTAAGAATGCCATTTTAAACCTATAAAATTAATTGCTTATAATAAAAATTCAGAAGGCCAGGGACATAATTCAGTGGTATAGATCTTCCTTACACGTGCCAGGATCTAGGTTCAGTTCCTAGCATCACAAAAATAAATAAATATATACATAAATAATTTAGTCCTGGACAGGGTGCAGTGAATTAGGCAGTTTTCATATATTGCTGGTGGCAATATACTGGTATGGCTTTCCTGGAAATGAACCTGGCAAAATGTATCAAATTCTTTCCTTCCTTCCTTCCTTCCTTCCCTCACTTTTCTTTTCTTTTCTTTTCTTTTCTTTTCTTTTCTTTTCTTTTCTTTCTGGTTTTTTGAGACAGGGTCTCACTACGTAGTTGAGAGTGACCTGGAACTCACTATGTAGCCCAGGCTGGTCTTGAACTCATAGTGATACTCTTGCCTCAGCCTCCTGACTGCTGCGATTACAGGTGTGTGCTACCACGCCCGGCTTATTTATTATATTTTGAATCAGGTCTCACTAAATTGCCCAGGATACCTTGAACTTGTGATTTTGCTTTAGCCTCCTGTCTGGGAATGCAAGCATGTATCACCATATCCAGCAAAAGTATGTTTTTTGGCATGGTTGCGCATACCTATAATCCCAGTACTCAGGATGGTGAGTCAGGAGGATCACCACAAGTTTGAGGCCAGCCTGAACTACAGAGTGAGACCCAATCTCAAAGGAAAAAAAAAAAAAAGGGCCAGGGATTTAGCTCAGTGGTTCTGGCGCCTGCCTCACAAGTGCAAGGGCCTGAGTTCGATCCCTGTTACCAAGAAAAAAAAAAAAGGGGTGCCAAGGATTTAGATCAATGGTGCCATCAGCTGTCTCATAAATGCAATGTCCCAAGTTTGATCCATGGTACCAATAAAAAAAAAAAAAAAAAAAAAGATTTTTGAACCATTAACTTTACTTCTGCAAATAACCATAAGAAAATAAAGATTCAGTCAAAGATTTAATTAGTAATGGTACAAAATAAGAAATAAACAACAGGAAAAATTAAGTAAATAAGGGTATATAAACAGACGATATTATACAGACATAATGATTTTATTTTTGGAAAAATGCTATCAATGGTGTTAAATAGTAAGGCCCCAGGGTTGGGGACTTAGCTCAGTGGCACCATGCCTGCCTTGCAAATGCAACAAGGTCCAGAGTTCAATCCCCAGTACCAAAAACAAAACAAAACAGAAAAATAGTAAGGCCCCCAAATCTATGGGTAATGGGCTGACAGTATGCCATCACACCTGATGATTTTTTGTATGTCCTGCAATGAACATATCATTTTTGTCAATGTACTATGTACCTCAGAAGGAAGTAGAGAAAAAGCACATAGGCTCTCAGCAGTCTTTCAGCCTGCTGTACTTATGGTGGTGATCTATTTTATACTGAAGGCCGGGTGGGCCTGGAATCTGACAATAAATAAATGGTGCTTCATTGTACTCCTTGCCACTAAGTAAACTGGACCATACAAAGCAATCAAGGGCAACAATGACCTTATTTGATGAAGCCTAGTAACTAATAAAGAACTAATTTTGGGGGGGGATAATTTTCTAATATGTATGACAAAAAGAAAACCCTGAAAGGTAATAACTGTTCCAAGTGTCTCGGTAGAGTGCTATGCAAATTTTACTACATTCTAATCTGTCCTCCATGCAGCAACAGGACATACTTACCACGGCTTCAACAGCAGGTGAGTTGTCCCCTACCACGAGTAAAGTAGAACACCTAGGAACAGCCAAAAGGAAAAGTATCACTTAGTAAATAAGCATACACACTCCACTCAACACTGAAATAGTCACAACAGGCAATTCAGACTATTTGGCAATTCAAGGAGAAACTGAAGGACTTACTTTAATGTTTTTAATCTGTTATCATTTTGGCCTAGTATGGGTCTTTCAATTTCCAGGTCTCTGCGTCTAGAAGATAAAAGCAGAAATAAATGCCTTTGAAAACCAAAACTCCTCGAGGAATGTGAAAAGTATCTTTTACTCCTGAACATTGTTCTGGAGCAGCTATTTCAGTTGTCTCTTGAATGGTACAGAGTAGGAACAAGGGACTTTGTGGAGTGCTAAAAGAATACAACTTTAAATTCAATAGCAAACCTACAGAGATCCTCAAATCCCAAGTCTTTTAATTTTCCAACCAGTTTACAGTAATAAATTCATTAAGAGAAGGGAATGACTTACATCATTTCTACTTGGGGGGAGCATTTTCCTTGAAACAGTTTAGCATAAAACTTTATCTTTCTGATTTCAACTAAAAATAGGGAAGAGACTATAGAACCCAAGTTCAAAACCTGGCTTTGCTTCTTGCTGGCTGTATAACTCTGACCCATTTCCTCAGACTTTTCCCATGTTTTCAGAAAGTGAGAAGGAGCTAATATTTTCACCTTGGGAAAGCTGTTCTCAAGATAACCAGTGATGTCCCCTCACTCTGCCCTGTGACGGGGGTAAAGGGGATGTTACAGTATATTTTGAAATAAACAAACCAGGAAACTGACTAGCATCTATGCATTACTTTTGCCTAATGACAAGGTATGAGCAAAGAGCAACTAAGTCAAGGCCAAGTCTTCTCTCCTTTGTCTCTTCACATGCATTTTCTTGTACTACCTCACATGACTTGTGTGCTTTTGCAAATATACATAACTGGGGTTCCACTGGTTTGAAAACACTGAAACTACAACTGGTATGTTAATAGTCACAAAATGGCTTTCAGTTCACTCAATCTTCCTAAAAGCTGTTTGCATATCTGTCTTAAAGTCTTGCTCCTATTTTGCTGAAACAGTATAAAGCCAACCCCATCATAAAAATGGGAGAAGTAATTTATTTCCCCTGCCTCCTCCCTTAATGGCCAATTATCTTTTTAGACCTGGTCTATACCTATGTGAAGGAATGAGAAATAACTGTACCCATTATAGGAACCCAAGAAGAGCTGTAGGTTTTCTTGGTTGATATCTTGGGCAATATGCAGTCTGTAAGTTTGAATCAGGTCCAGGTTGGCCTGTAATTCTTCCTAGAATAAGTGAAAGAAGACACAAGTAAACCTCTTGAAACTACAACTGGTATGTGAACATTCCTGAAATGGCTTTCAGTTCACTCAATCTTCCTGAAAGGTGTTTTCACATCTGTCTTAAAGTCCTTCTCCAAAAGCCAGCTCTCACCGTCCATGATGGGAAGGATGGTGGGGACAGGGGGCTACTAATGTATTTGAATGGCTAAAATATGTCTACTTGCTTCAGCTTGGTTTGGTGCCATATTCTGCGTCAGACGAAGGCACCAAAGAACCTATTACAGGAAACTTAGTTCATCTAACTATTCTGAACCTGAGTTTCCTTATTTGTGTGTGTGTGTGTGTGTGTGTGTGTGTGTGTGTGTGTGTGTGTGTGTGTGTTTAGTACTGTGGCTTCAACTCAGGGCCTTCAAACTGAGCTATAACCCCAAGCCCTTAAAAAAATTTTTTTTTTTGGTACTGGGGATCGAACTTGGTATCCTATGCTTATGAGGCAGGTGGAGGAATCACTGGGCTACATCCCCAGCTTTTTTTTTTTTTTTTTAATTTTGAGACAGGGTCTTGGTTCCTCAAATATTAAACACAGTTATTATGGGACTCAGTAATTTCACACCTAGGTATGTATGCAAGAGAACAAAAACCTAAGTCCACATAAAAACTTCTACAGAAATGCTGAGAGCAGCACTATTCATACTAGCTAAAAAATGGAAACCAACAAATAACCATTAACTGATAAAGAAATAAAGTTTAAGAAAATATTACTAAGCTGTAAAAAGGAATCAAGTATTGATACATGCTACAACATAGATGATCTTCAAAACATGCTAAGTGAAAGAAGTCAGTCTCCTAAGTGTTGGGATTACAAGCGGGTGCCACCATGTCCAACCTAAAATTACATAATTGAGAATTGGCAAATTCACAGATTAGTGGTTGCCAGGGGCAGGAGGAAGGGATGTGCCAGTGAGGGGGATTTTTTGGAGGTGATGAAAATATTCTGAAACTGGAGAGTGGTAACAGTTGTACAACTCTATAAATACACTAGACCAACTGAGTTGTATATGGGTATGTTAAGAAGGGGATTTAGCTCAGTGGTTCCAATGCCTGCCTTGCAAGCACAAGGTCCCGAGTTCAATCCCTGGTTAAAAAAAAAAGGTATATTGTATGATATGTACATTTATCTCAATAAAGTTGATTTAAGAAATGAATAACATTGCCAGGAATTTAGCTCAGTGGTTCCGCCATCTGCTTCACAAGCACAAGGACCCGAGTTCGATCCCCGGTACCAAAAAAAAAAAAAAAGAGAGAAATGAATAACATGAGCTGAGCATGGTGGCGTACGCCTATAATCTCAGCATGCAGGAGGCGGAGGCAGGAGGATTGCAGTGGGTTTGAGACCAGCCTGGGCTACATAGTGAGGTCAAGGCCAGCCTGAACAACACAGCAAAACCCCGTCTCGAAAAACAAAAGAATAACAGAAGCCATATATGGTAGAACATGCCCATATCCAAGCACTTGGGAAGCTAAGGACCCTGTCTCAAAAAAAAAGAAAGAAAAAAAAAGACACAATTCTACTCCAAAGTGTATAGCCAAGAGATTCTTGCACAAATGTAACAGAGGCATGTAAAAACTGTTTGCAGCTGACTGGAGTCAAACTACCACAACCTGCAACAATGTGGATGAACCCTAGCAACATACATATATTTTTTTTCTGCTAAAAAAATGTATGCACAGGCCGGGGATTTAGCTTAGTGGTTTTGCTGCCTGCCGCCTTGCAAGCACAAGGGATCAAGTTCGATCCCCAGTACCAAAAGACAAAAACAAAAATAAAAAATGTATACACACTTCAGCAGTTCATCATACTAGTAAATGCCTCGAAGCTCATGGTCACCACTTTGAGTGCCTCTTGTAATTGTAGAGGCCAAAGGTAACTTGTATTGACCTCATGATATCTCAATAAATTTAGGACTGAAATATTTATGTAAATTTTTATTTTCATGATGTATACTTTTGGGGGCAGATTTTTGTACACATATATTTATAAATATAAATATATGAATAAATATAAATTCGTGAAAGTATTAAAAATACAATATAGGAATGATAAAGCAAAGACAATGAATCAATGATGATGGTGCATCCATGAACTAAACAATATGATTATTCTAATTATCTATACCTGTGGCCCACTGGAAACAAGCAAGAAGCAGTCAGAGCTCCAGATATCCCTGTATTCTGGGGGACTTCCTTCTCTTCATCCCAGGAGAAGACTAAAGGTTATTTTATTCTCTGGAAACATTAGAAGGTCTTCAAACTGGGAGACCACAGGCCTAGGTGGTAGTAGATATACCATTCTGAAAACATGGGAATAAGGGGAGTACAGTGGTATGGAGCTTGCCTAGCATATGTGAGGCCCTAGGTTTGATCTCCAGCACTGCAAAACAAAAATAAACACATATACAAACACACACCCCTGAGGCTTGAATGATGAGGCTCTCGGTATTTTTCTGCAGATGGCTCTAAGAACATATTTGTATTTAGTATGTAACCTTAGAGCCTATCTAGGGAACCAAAATGACTAGTCCCAGATAAAAGCACCCAGAAAGGTATTAACAATACAGGTTCCCCAAAGACATGGCCTAGTGAATGCCCACAGTGGTAAACCTCCCTTGGTACACACCAGGCTTCATTGATGTACTCTTATGGAATAGGGGTGGATAGCCAGGGAGCACTAGTTATTTGGGAAAAGAACCTGGCTCCTGGCTAGTTATCAATTTATGGTTTCTCATTCCCAAATCTATCCTTTTTTTTTTTTTTTTTTAAACCAGGGCTTGAACTCAGGATCTTGTGCTTGCAAGGCAGGCGGCAGAACCACTGAGCTAAATCCCTGGTCCTATCCTTCTTAATAACTGAGCCACACTGTATAATTAAAAAATTGAGCATAGGAGCTGCTCGTTCAATGCATCAGAAACTCTGAGACCAGCTTCAGTAGTGCCCTTGTTCTGTGCTCTCTCTGCTCAACTGCAGTTTCTGTAGCAGTTCAGGTCTTCCTTTGGGCAACTGTCTCCTCAAACTGGTCAGCAATTCTAGGACGAGTGAATAGACCAACTTGATACACTATTAACAATGTTGTTTCCTATGGAAATGTGGAGAGTTTGAGGGATCTGGAACCAATCAAGCAAAACAGACCACCATGAGAAGTAATATAGAAGTTTTACTGGGTAATATTTAGACAGGGTGTTTTGTTTTGTTTCTTGGTACTACTGGGGATTGAACTCAGGACCATGCACTTGCAAGGCAGGCACGACACCACTGAGCTAAATCGCCAGCCCTGGACAGGGTGTTATAAAAGAAGTCCCTAATAGCACAAGACTGTCCAGCAGTTTATCACTAGGGGACTATGATTTACAACAGAACAATGGAACTCCTGGGGAAAGGGGAAATGACAGAAGTGACGTAGTAGCTCAGCACTATTGCAGTGGAGTTCTCGGGGCCAGTGAACTCTGAAGGACCATGGTATCTTGAGGTATACCTACAAAGTTCTATGTTATTCATATCCAGCCAAATGTGAGTTGAAGCTTCACAGAACATGCAAAAAGGCAGGCAATACATGGCTATACTTATTTGGATTTTTAAAAATTGGATTATTTAAAAAATAATTAGAGATAGGTGTGGTGGCACATCCCTGTAATTTGGCTTATAGGCAGGGGTATGAGGCAGGAGGATTTTGAGTTCAAAGCCAGCCTGGGCAACTCAGGGAGAATTTGTCTCAAAATAAAAAAGGGCTACTGGTGTAATTCAGTGTGAGGACCCTTGACTAGCATGTATGTGACCCTAGGTTCAACTGCAGTACTGGGGGGCAGAAGGGAGAGATGTGTGAAAATTTAATGTCAGTGCTAGAGGGCTTTTGAACTAATGGATCTAAGCCTCTAATGAAGAAAGAGACCACGTTGGGGTCAATACCCAGATACCAATTTATATTGGTTAATAAACTAGTTTAGACTAGAGTAAGTAAAAATGCTGTGAGTGGGCCAGGATTTAGCTCAGTGGTTCCACCATGTGCCTTGCAAGTGCAAGGTCCTGAGTTTGATCCCTGGTACAAAAAAAAAAGAACGTTGTGGGAGACTTCTTCAGTAAAGTAAAAATGATACAGTATCAATGTGCTTTAATGTACTGAATAAGAGGATTAACATAACCAGGGGAGAGATATAACAGGGAAGAGTAAGAAACTGATACAAAGAAAATAATGCCAAAATATAGGACATTAACTCAAGAGATACAAAATGTTATACAAAAAACAAACAAACAAACAAACAAACAAACAAAAACCCTAGGGCCAGGGTTATAGCTAAGTAGGTAGGAGCTTTGCCTATATGAGGCCCTAGGTTCTATTCCCAGCAGTAGGAAAAAATAAAAAAGAAGAAATGAGAGACAGAGAAGACATGGTCTCATAGCTGAATAGTGTGAGTGGTGGAGTTTGATATTACCCAAATGATATGATTTACTATGAGTATGAGGTAGAAGGAAATATTGTACTACCATGTTATGGCGACAAAGAGAGAGAAAATGAGCATGTGTATGGAAACCATCTTCAAAAAGGCAAGGCAACTAAAAATCTAACAAGTGGAAATACATACATATTTAGACACGGAAGCAAAAAGAATTGCGTACGTCAAAGAAGATAATAAGCATGGTGACATGTGCCTGCAGTTCCAGCTACTTGGGAGGCTAAGGCAGGAGCCCATAAGTATGGGGCCATCATGGGCAATTTAACAAGAGCCCATCTCCTGAAAAAAACTAAAAATTGCAAACAATGCAAATGTTTGTTCATAGAAAAAAATTAATTTATGGTATTTTAATACAATGAACTACTGTTACATAATCACCAATACATAGAATGACATGGATTAATCTCAAAGATAGTTATAATGAGCAAAAGAAACCAGACCCAGGAGTGTACACTGTGTGATCTACTTGTATGAAATTTAAGCACAGGCAACCTGGGAGGCTGAAGCAGGAGGATGGCAAGTTGGAGCCCAGCCTGAGCAATTTAGCAACTTATCAAGAGCTTGTCTCAAGATAAAATAAAATAAAGGGCTGAGGCTCATGCAAATCCTTAGGACCACCACTACTAGAAACCAAACCAAACAGGAGAAAAAAAAAAAATCTACAGAGGTAATGGAATAGCAAATACTTCATTTATGGTGGGGGACTAATGAGTACTTATGATTTGTGCATCATATTATATGCAGGCTATATTTCAATTCAAGAAAGCAATATGGGAGGTCCAGGGATTTAGCTCAGTGGCACTGCGCCTGCCTCCCATATGCAAGGTCCTGAGTTTGATCCCCAGTACTAGAAAAAAAGAAAGCAATACAGAGGCAAACTATTAAAGAATCAGATAGAAAAAAGTGGTTGCCTCTAAGAAGCTGATAATGGGATAGGTTGCAGATTCTTTGAAATAAGGCTTGTTGAACTTCTGTATTCTAAAATGATTGTGAATCTATAACTTTGATAAAAATACAATGAAATAAAGGAAAAAAAAAGGACTATGGACTTTGCAGTTGGATTCGTATTCATGTTAACTCCCTTTTCCCTCTTTCTTGCTCTTTTTGCAGAGTCAAGGATAGAACCCAGAGCCTTGTACATGTTATTTAAATGCTCTATCACCGGAGATACAGCTCCAGCCCTAGGCCTAGGTTCAAATATCAATTCCACCATTTACTATTTGGATAACAGTGGCAAACTGGACTGCATCTCTAGCCCTTGTTGTCCCTAACTTAAATTTAGGCTAAAAGCATCATGAGAAAAATAACAGTGGCGCTAAAGCATTCAGCAGAAGTATACAAAGTCCCTTGTACATAAATAATCAGTACTTAATAAATGCTCATTTTCTCCCCACCTACCATTTTCCTTTGGATATATTTAGAACTAACTACACAGATTGCACCCAAGGATCCATTATCCCTGTTTATATTGTTCTGGCTCCAGTACAGGTACATCACAGCTCTCTGGCTTCATATATTCCATCACTCCTTTGTAGGTCACCTAATTCATTTTTCCCTTTGAGAAATGGACTGTGGGGCTGGGGATTTGGCTCAGTGGTTCCACCACCTGCCTTGCAAGTGCAACGTCCCAGTTCAAGCCCCAGTACCCCCCCCCAAAAAAAAGAAACAAACAAACAAAAATGGACTGGGCTCCCTCAACCACCAGTGGAGTCCCTTCCCCCATCTAACAATTACAGAATCTGTGACCAGAATTGTGAAAAGAATTCAGTTCATGGACCAAGGCACCATTGTACTCATAGGACAACTGTCACTTCCTCTGTAAGGTTTACTTTCCTCACCAGTTCATGAGGATTAAATAAAATAATCCCTAATTTTTTTCAGTAATATTTCAGTTTCTTTTTATTTTTCTTCTGAAATAACTATTTCTGTGAAGACTTTCCCAGATCCCCCAATGGCTCCAAAGATGCTCGGTGAGGCACATGATACTGTCAAATATTAACAGATGGCATGCCATTTACAAGGGTCAGTGGGAAGAGAAATGGTTTCTCTCATCTTTCCAAATGCCAATGGTCATGTGTCCCTGAGTTAATTCCTGCCCCGTAAGAATGGCCTTTGCAGGGCCACATGCAGCTCAGACTGCACTGGAAGCACTATCTGTGAGGATCAGGTAAACAATGAGTACTCTTAGATATAAACTGGCTTCACATGCAAAATAAACCCAGTTTTCTTGGATTCACAGGCACTTACCTGTCCAAAATGATGAGCCAAAATAATGTCCACAACATTGGTCGTAAAGCCAGAGAGCTGAAAAGATAAAAGTTTCTGTGTTAAGGGAATAGCACATGTAAAAAACTCACCAGGCTGCCTACTTTAGGTCAGTATGCTATATACTGTTTAAAAACAAAAACAAAAAAACCCTCATAGTTCAGTATTATACTTCTTAATGAGATGGTAGTTTGAAACATAAGAAAAAGAAAACAAGGGCTGGGGATTTAGCTCAGTGGTTCTGCCTGCCTACCTAGCAAGCACAAGGTCCTGAGTTTGATCCCCAGTACAAAAAAAAAAAAAAAAAAGAGAGAGAGAGAGAAAGAAAGAGGGAGAGAGAGGTCTCTCATCCAGGGCAGTAACAGAGCTTGCTTTGAAATAGGGAGCGGGACAACAGAGTGCACCTGTGGTCTCAGCTACTCATGAGGGTGGAGTAGAAGGGTCATTTGAGCACAGGAATCTGACAGTGCTCTGGGCCACAGAGTAAGACCTCATCTCAAAAAAAAGACGTTGATACCTAGAACACATGGCTGTTTGGTACTTTCTCTCTGCCTACATTTCTGCATTTACAGTAGAGGATAAAAAATAACTTACAATCACTCCCAAGACAGCCAAGAAAAAAAGAAAGAAAGGAAAAGAAAAACCACCAGTTTTTTCCTCCAGTTTTTGCTATCTTTATTTTAGGGAGTAGGAAGAAATAGTTATATTTACAGAATGTTCTTGCATTTTGAACATTTCTAATTCTTTCCACTTCAAAATGATGCATCTTATGTTCTAATAAATGCAGCAATCTGTATAAATCTGTACACTGTTAAGACTATTTTTGGAAAAGCTTCCAACTCAAATTATGTTGCTGATTAAGCTTCTTCCTTGCTGAATTCCTACTTAAGACTTGGATAATTCCCCTAAGTTGGGGGTAAGAATGAGGGTGAGGGAGGTACACATGGGCATAGGTGAAACAGAATCCTACAGTCTCAAAAAGATTAAGAAAGTTGTCCTGAAATCTTCCTGTGGATTGTCAAGGATCCACTGGTTATAAGTTAAATATAATTAGAATTAAAAACGGGTCTGGGGACTTAGCTCAGTGGTTCCAGAGCCAGACTCACAAGTGCTCACAAGACCCGAGTTCAAATCCCAATACAAAAAAAAAAAGTAAGACCTTGTCTTAAAATAAAAATTAAAATTAAAAAAAAAAAAAAAAAAAAAGGAGCTGGGGAGTGTGAAAGCCCTGGGTTCAATCTCCAGTTCCATAAAAACAAACAAACAAACTTGAAAACTTGGTAAGTACTCATAAATGTGAAGTTTCATATGATTTTTTTTCCCTGTACAAGGGATCGAACTTGGGACCTTGTGCTTGCAAGGCACATGGCAGCACCACTGAGCTAAATTCCCAGCCCTACATGAATTTTATCAGGTGGGTTACATGTTAATTGAGACTGTTCAGGCAAGTGTTAATATATCCATATAAGACATAGAAATTAGAACAAATCTTACGTAAGTTGGACTGTAAGAAGTTCCAAAGCATCTGACAATAGCATTAACAGGGCTGGGGATTTAGCTCAGTGGTGCTGCACCTGCCTTGCAAGAAAGAGCAAGGTCCTCAGTTCTATCCCCAATACAGACTGAGGGGAGCATTAACATATTTCATCCAAAGCTAGGGAATGCATCATTTCTTCAAAACTTAAGGGTGGGAAGGGATGAATAAAATGTTTAAATTTGGTCTGCTGGTAGATAGATTATTTCAAAATAATTTAAAACTAATATATGCTTGTTATAGAAAATCAGACAGAGAATATGAAAAATATTTTGTAATTTTAACAGCCAAAGATGTCATCATCAATACACTGTATGTTCTTTTCTTATGCATATGTATTTAACAAAATTAGGATCATATGATATGGTTTTGTATCAATTTTTCACTTAAAAATATTTCTCTCATTTCCTTAAATAACACATATGTTGTTTGAGTATTTTTGTTGTTGTTGTTGTTTTTATTTTTTTTTTGAGACAGGGTCTCACTATGTAGTTGAGACTGACCTGGAACTCACTATGTAGCCTAGGCTGGTCTTGAACTCACAGCAATCCTCCTGCCTCAGCCTCCTGAGTGCTGGGATTACAGGCATGTGCCACCACGCCCGGCTGTTGTTTTTTAAGATAGGGTCTCATCATGTAGTTGAGACTGACCTGGAACACACTATGTAGTCCAGGCTGGTCTTGAACTCACAGCAATCCTCCTGCCTCAGTCTCCCGAGTTGCTGGGATTACAGGCGTGCACCACAACACCTGGCTTTTTTTTTTTTTTTTTTTAATTGAATGCAGAGGGCAGTAAGTTACATCCCTTGAGACAGTCTTAGTATAGTGCCAAACTGGTCTCAAACTTGCAATCCTCCTGCCTTAGCCTAGATAGTTAGGAATATGGGCATTGCATTCAGCTGTAACATTAAAAAAAAATAATAATAAGGGTAGGGACCGGGGGATTTGGCTCAGCAGTTCCACTGCCTGCCTTGCAAGTACAAGGACCCGAGTTCAATCCCTGGTACCAAAAAAAAAGAAAGAAAGAAAAAAAAAGAATTAAAAATAATAAGGGCTGGGGTTTTAGCTCAGTGGCACCACACCAGCCTCACAAGCACATGGTCCTGAGTTCAATCCCTGGCACAAAAATAAATAAATAAATAAAAATTTTTGAGACAAGGTCTTGCTATGTAGTTCAGGTTGGCCTTGAACTCACTATGTAGTCCCAGCTGGCATCAAACTCATGGTGATCTCTTGGTTCAGCCTCCCAAGTGCTAGGATTACAGATGTGTACTACCTTGCCTGGCTAACAAAAGTTTGTTTTTATTAAGTTTATTGGTATATTTTAGGTATACAATATGATGACATTCATCATTGGGAATTTGTATCTTTACATGACATATTTTGGTTCTTATTTTTTCCCCATTCCCCTGACCTCCTTTCAACCCCTCCACCCCTCCCTATTTACAAAGACTTTGTTTCCATTTTTCCCAGCATTTTTTTTTTTTTTTTTTTTTTTTTTGGAGACAGGGTCTCACTATGTAGTTGAGACTCACCTGGAACTCACTGTGTAGCCCAGGCTGTTCTCAAACTCATGATCCTCCTGCCTCAGCCTCCCGAGTGCTGGGATTATAGGCATGTGCCACAACACCCTGGCTCTTTCCAACATTTTTTGATAGTATACTTTTCTCTTCTACAGTTGAATCAAACTTGTTATCTTGTACTTAGGCACTTAAGCTGTTTCTTCCTATCTTACACACAATGCTTTAAGGACCATCTTGGTTGCATGACTTTCTAGCTATATGTCCTTAAGCAAATGACTTATGTCTCTATGGGACAATATACCAGCTCACTAGGTTCTCTTGAGAATGAAAAGTTTATATATGTTAAGACTAGTGCCAGGTGCACAGTAAGCACTGTATAGGTATTCTTAAAAATCAATATCCTTGTATTTAAATCTTTGCCACTATCCTTCAAATAGGTTCTCAGATATCAAATCATTGACTCTTATGGCTTTGAGTATCAATAAATATTTCTGATACACATGATGCTAGGTGGTGGTTATTTATTTATTTTTGGTACCAGGAATCGAATTCAGGTCTTTGCGCTTTGGAAAGCACAAAGTAGAACCATTGAGCTAAATGCCTGGTGTAGGTGGTGGTATTTTAAAGAATCTCTCTTTCTAAGCTGGGCATGGTGGTGCATGCCTGTAATCCTAGCACTTGGGAGGCTGAGGCAGGAGGATCGCTGTGAGTTCAAGACCAGCCTGGGAAACATAGTGAGCTCCAGGTCAGTCTCAACTACATAGTGAGACCCTGTCTCTAAACAAAACAAAACAAAAACAACAACAACAACACACACACACACAAAGAATCTCTCTTTTAATGATGTATTAGGACATTTACAGTAACTTAAAAGTATTTAGAGGGCTTACTTAGTTTTAGGGAGGCAGTTCAGTGGTAGAATGCATGCCTAGCATGCAAGAGACTTTGGGCTGAATTTCCAGCACTAGGGGTAAGGATGTGGGGCTGGGGGTGCCCGTGGGAGTGTCTTGCCTAGCATTTGTGAGGCTCTGGGTTTAATCTCCAGCATGGGGAAAAGTAATCAAACAATCAACAACAAAAAAGTATTTAAAGGCATGTCTGTGATCCCACAGGCTACTCAAGAGGCTCAGGCAGGATGATCACAAGGTTTGGTCTAGCCTGGGCGACTTGGTAAGACCTTGTCAATAAAATAAAATAAAATAAAAGTAGGCATTTGTTAAAATGGCTTTACATTAGGTATCTTTTAGCAGGCAATGAAGGCTTAGGTTATTTTTCTCCCTAGAAAACATTACTGATTTAATCTAAAAAAAATCATAGATCAAAATAAAAACATAAATATTTTGTATGTTAGCAAGAAAATATTTTAAAACAGTTCTCTTTCCAACTTAGAAATGGTGAATCATTGGGCTGGGGATGTAGCTCAGTGGCACTGCCAACTCGCAAGTGCAAGGTCCTGAATTTGATCCCTGGTACCGCAAAAAAAAAGAAAAGAAAAAAAGAAATAGTGTATCATTTTTAGCACAGGTGAGTTCAATGCAAAGGGACATAATATAATGCTTTAATCTGTATCTCTCACTCTGGTTTAGTAATTGGATTTGTTTACATATCTATCTCAGCATAGATGTTACAGTTCAAATTTCTGTATTTTTCAGATAGGAAACAATAAATCCACATGTCTTTGGGAACACTGGTACAGATAAGTTTACCAGAGTCATTCACTCATTAATCCTTTTATGCCTAGTGTTCCACTTTTGGAACAGCACAAAACAACAGAACATAATAAAATTTTTTCTCCTCAAATTCTTCCTTGAATTTTTCTAACATACATAAACTTCATGCAAAAATTCAAAAAATTGCAACCTTTGGCATAAACAGGCTAAACAGAGTAAAAAATGCAAACTACAAACTAGAAGATATTTGAGATACATGAACCTAGGAGAAGACTTATATGCAAAAAAAATTTTTTTTTTAGTACCAAGGATAGAACTCACGACCTTACAGTTGCAAGGCAGGCATGGTGCCACTAAGCTAAATCCCTGGCCCAACATGAAGACTCTTTTATTAAAAAGGAAGGCTGGGGATATAGCACCTGCCTTGCAAGCACAAGGTCCTGAGTGATACCGCAAAAAAGGGAAAGCACAGGAAATTAAGAAAAAGACTTGAACAAGTACTTAAGAACAGGATATTCAACAAAACATACTCAGTATCACTGTTACTTAGGGAAACACAAATTAAAACCCATTATTATTTACTTATAGAAGCATAATTAAAATTTTAAAAGATGGTAAAGAGCTGGGGCTGTAGCTCTGTGGCTGAGCACTTGCCTGGCATGTGCAAAGCCCTAGTTCTTTGTTTTTTTTTGGTACCAGGGATCAAACTCAGGACCTTGCGCTTGTCAGGCAGGCAGTGGAACCACTGAGCTAAATCCGTGGCCCTGCAAGGCTGTAGTTTGATCACCAGAGCTGCCCCCAAAAAAGAAAAAAAAAGGGTATAAAAGCTGTTATTTTAATAAGTAGTTATACTGGTGATAAGTACCACATAAAAATAAAATATTGTAAATAAAACTGCTCATCTTTTACAAAAATGAAAAGGACAGTAAGAAATGGTGGTGAGAATGTGAGCTAGAACTTGCATATGTTGCTGGTGTGTAAACTGGCCAAATGCTTTTGGAAAACTGCCAATATCTACACTGAAGTAAATATATAACTGCCCTATGATGCAGTAATTTCAATTCTAGGTATAAACTTAGAGAAACAAACACATATGTCTACTGAAAGAAAAGAGAATGTGTATGGTAGCTATATTCATAACAACTAAGTAACAGAAACTCATTTTGGGTATTGTGTGTGTGTGTGAGTGTGTGTGTGTGTGTGTGTATCCCCCATCTATATATGTAGTGGGGACTGAACCCAAGGAATGGAGGTTTAGCCCTAAGACCACCCCAACCAGTGATCAAACTCAGGACCTTGCACTTGAAGGCAGTCGGGGCACCACTGAGATAAATCCCTGGCCTATTCCTAATCCTTTTTATTTTGAGATAGGGTCTTGCTAAATTGCCAAGGCTGGCCTAAAACCTGCAATTTTTCTTCCTTAGCCTATTGAGTAGACAGGATTACAGGTTATGTACCAACATACCCAACCACAATATTTATTTTGCAGATACACTATTAAACAGCAATTAAAAAGAACTACTGCTACACCATCCAACATGAATATCACAGATGCAATAATAAATGGAAGAGGGCAGACTCAAAATATTCTGACTACACGAAATTTAAGAACAGATAAGGCTAATACATGGTGATAGAAGACAGAAAGTAATATCCAGGAAGGAGAGGAATTACCAGCTAAGAAAAGGCACAAGGAACCCCTCTGGAGTGTTGGAAATAGTTCATTAATTGATGAGGTAATGACTATATACGTAAACCTTCACCAAACTCTATACTTAATTTTTTTTGCCATTAGCTGTGTATCTACTTTAATGAAAAGTAAAGTTAATCTGTTTTTAGAAGGAACCAAGAGACTAGCCAATGGACACTTTCACATGGTACTTACTTTGGAAGCTGCCCAGTCAATCCAGCCTTTAGCGCATGGGTCAATGTTAATGAGTACGAGGCCTTCCACAAGTTCTGGGTGATTAAGCTGAAAGATGAGACAGTCAACAGTATGAAAGTTCCACTCCCACAGTTCTACCACAGTTGGGATATGGCTCGTTAATTTATATAAGCCTTAATATCTCACATTTGAAAGAGTACAGAGAGGTGCTAAGAAGAATAAGTAGAAAATAGCTCTTGAAATCTGACTTAGCATCTGGAAACCAGTTTCTTAAATTGCTATAAAATGATCTTGCCTTGTACACATTTATAAGGAAGATAAGTTTCTTTTTACAGCAGAGGAGAACATTCTGCAGTTGTTCATTTTCACTTAGTACAGGGGATGGTCAGGTTTAAGATGGGCTCCTTCACATTCATCTGTCTTTGTTCCTACCAAGGGATTTTAGTTTTTTCCTAAAACCATCTAAATAGGTGATGCCACTCCCAAAAGAATTTAAGACTTTATCATCAAAGAGGCGTTTCAAAAAACAGGAACATTTCCAAAACTCAAAACTCTCCAGCTCCCTTCTTCCCTCTGATTATGGTTACTGCAGTGTTTGACAGAGAAATTATAAAGAGTGTGAATAAAATCTCACATTATTTTACCACACATCAACTGTTTTATTTTGTGGTACTGGGGATTGGACATGGTGTGCTCTACAACTGGGCCACATCTCCAGCCCTGTTTTTTATTTTGAGATAGGATGCTGTTAAGTTGCCCAAACTGATCTTGTATTTGACATCCTCCTGCCTCAGATTCCCCAGCAGCTGAGATCACAGGTGTGTGCCACCAGCCCTTGCTATATTCTAGTACATTTCCTTTCAGTTCTTTCCTATGCTTCTGATGAACTTTATTTATTTGTTTATTTATTTATTTATTTTGAGACAGGGTCTCACTATGTAGTTGAGACTGACCTGGAACTCACTACATAGCCCAGGCTGGTCTCGAACTCACAGGGATCCTCCTACCTTAGCCTCCAAGGTGCTGGGATTACAGGTGTGCACCACCATGCCCATCTGATGAACTTTAAATGAATCTATATTCTAACTTTTATTCTTATATTATAGTGTATGTAAATCATGTGACATTAAAAGTTCTCCTTAAGCTCAATTTTAATGGCTGTACAAAATTCCATCATAAGCTGCATCTAGACCTTTTTACAGACATAACTGCCCTTGTTTGTGGTATTTCAGATACTATACAAAGGCAAAGCTTTATACAAACCTGTATTTGAGGCAAGAGAATCTACACAAAACTTAATGTATGACTCAAAAGCGTGCCCGATCATTTAACACAATGCTAACACATCAGTGACCAAGGATGTGCTTCAAGGGTGTGGAGACTAATCTCACTGCACTTACTGCAAATCTGCTGAGGATATAAGCTCCAGCTCCAACTCCAATCCCAATGATGCTTTTCAGACTGTGGAATGGAGAGTACAACAATTGACAGAGTCAACTTCTTTTGAAGGTAGTGTTGCATAACAAAAAGAATACAACCTGGTTTCATATCCCGGCTGACATTTACTAGATTTGAGAAAGTTTGTTTGTTTTGGTACCAGGAATCGAACTCGGGTCCTTGTGCTTGCAAGGCAGGTGGCGGAACCACTGAGCTAAATCCCTGGCCCTGTTTTTTTTTTTTTTTAAGATGAGGTCCCACTATGTTGCCCA